TGTCGGTAGCGGTCCAGCACGCGATGGGCGGGACAGCGCTGGGCGCACCGTGGCTGTTTTTTAGGGCGGCGGTCGGGCAAGAACCCCTCCTAGACCATCATTTGCTACCTAAAATTCTGCTCGTAAATAATTCCGCTCGGTTGGGAGTACATGCTTGCCACCCTAAACCCTGAAACCGCCCGATTATTCAGAAAAGTGCACGGACACACAGCTGGTGCTACAGCAGCTCTAGCTTTTCCTGGAGCTCTCCAGTTGATCTCTGCTTCTCGGCTGCACTAGCAGCCAAAGGTGTGAACATGTTGCCGAGCATAGAGCATGAGGGATCGAGAAATCGTATGTAATGTTGTTGTAAAGGAATGGCACCGTCGGGAAATGCGACTGCATCTCCCAACGAAATCTTCATCGCTCCAACATGAATAGCCTGGATGGCTCGATCAATTACCATAAAAAATTTATTAGAAAAATCACCCTTACAATCCCTTACACGTTTGCACATGCAACCCATGGGACAGCTGGGAGAAAGTACGAACAGGGCTCCTCTTTCAACCTGGTACTCCATTTCTCTCCTAGGCTGATGTTCATGGCAAAAAACTAGCACATGGATAGTGACACCTTAATTGAGAAGTCAAGTTGAGGCAAGTCACAACAGATGAAGTTGCATATGGAGTTTAGGTCGAAGCCTATACATAGGCCACCCCAGGCGTGCCGTGTACGTCGCAAGCAGGCTATAGCCCTCCTCAGATCTTGATGGACTCCAATTTGGTTTGGCCAAAGCATGTACTAGATGGCATCACAATTTTTCATAGCTATATAGAATTTTATAAGTACATCATGGCTCAGGGGACCCTACCAACTAATTTTGCTTCAGATTCGTGCGAGCAAGTTTCTAACATTTTGTATCCGGCATCAAGAGCTTGGCGCGCTTGCCTTCCACCCATCCAAAGTCCATTCGAGTATATGACACGCCAGTGACGGTTCAAGGCATCTAGAGACCATTTCAGAAGTCGGAACAACTTCAAATAAATTTCCTGGGCTTGGGCAGAAGGTAGCAAGAGCGCATGCTGCTAATTTAGTTGTTTCATATGCTGCAGCAACACTAAAAAAGCTGTCAAGGATTCTGAAGCAACATGCAAGTAGCCGGGATCGTGGACTCGTCTACAGTTGAAAGCTCGTCTCCCAGCCAGCCAGCTAGCACAGCTGTATCAAATCCTTTCCCGCATCCAGCCGGATACTGCTTCAACCTTGGGGCAGCCAACAATTTTCATTTTGGGAGGGTACTGTTCGTGGTTATACACTGTATAATTAAGGATTACAAAGTTTGAAGCTCCAAAGCTCAAAGCTGCATGGGGATGATGCTCGATAATACAAAGTGGTGGTCTGGGAAGAAAAAGCACTTGTGTTGATGATCCTGCAATATAGTTAACACAGGGGTCTCCCACAGATGTAATTACAAGTGTCTATGGGGCAGGATGCCTGAGTGTGATGATTGACCTATATAAGTACATTGTTCCAAGAAACGTTTTGACTTTCATAGTCAACAATGACAGCTCCGTCAAACTTGTACTCTTTTTCTTGAGCTGGCACCAATGTTTCAAGCGAGCAAACGCCTCATCCAATTGTTTTTGGCAGCTACCTCCACCCAACAACTTGAGATGTACCATCACCAGCAAACTTGAAGCAACGAAGTCCTTGCCCCAGCCAGCAATCGCGTACGTGTGCGCTGGATCGGGTTGTATGCATGCAGGTTCAGAGCAGGAAGGCAACGAACGTAAAGGTGATATGGGCCGCTCTTTGAAAGGAGATTGAATTTCGCCATCATGCGGCCATTGTCGAAGGCTGCTGGAGGGTCCCACATCATACCAATCCTTATAATCCTGCTCAAGTAGATACATGGGGTATATATGGGGATCTTATTATAATCTACATTAATGTATCTCCAAGCTACATTCGATCTACTTAAGAGGGACTGTAGAAATCTATAGAATTACTCAATACTTATGGGCCAGATTTCCCAACACTGCTATTATGTGTAATTACATATAGGTATTCCATATACATAGGTTGCACAGTTCTAACAAAGGCCAAAGTAACGCACACGCTTAGCTGCCTATAGGGTCAGAATGGGTTGGGGTTACAAAACAATACTAGCTAGGGTTCATAATTAGCATATCTGTATAAGGAAAAACCTTACAATAAATAATGGTGTATTTCTACCATGCATCCTCCCCTGGGCACAAGTGGCACTTCCGCTTGCTCGAGAATCCAGTTGCCAAGTGCATAGCTTTTCTCAAGTACGGCCAGTCACCCTTTATGCAAATTGGCACGAACCTGAATCTGAAAGATTTCTGCTTCCATAGCACCTGATATGATCAAGCAGTACAGCGAGCAACCTTTCTATGTGAAACCCATTTTTCAACAGGTGAATGAAAAAAGCCTGAATGTAATATGAGCCAAAGTACTTCCAGACCATCATTGTAAAGACCAAGTAAATCGTTTGTAAGGGCCAGATTTAAGGCATCCAATGTCGCATCACCGTGGTACAGCTCGCTTCGCACTGCCGAGAACAGAAGCCGCGTTGTGAAAGAATGCCTCAACCAAAAAACTATACAGCTCTAGTACATCCTGGGGGCCAGAGTTCCATTAAGCTATAGATTACAAAAAGTAAAGCCAAGACAATATAACTTATAGCTTTGTCAAAGGCTTAAAGGGGTGCCCACTTGCATTGGTGTGCTCCATGCCCTTCCAGCTGATGATTGGCTGTAGCGACTCTATCATGATCGGTCTTCGATTTTTGCCCCTGCCCTCGTCGCCATGGATGGCATACGGTATCAGGAAAGAACGATCGAAATTTTGACCAAACACATGATGCTCGGGTCGTACAAGCTGGTATCGTTCCCAGAACAGAGAAAAAGTCTCCCGAAATCTCTGGGGGTTGTCCAGACTGCCACCAGCCAGCAAAAGATGCCCTCCCTTAGCAAAAATTGCCTTTGCCCACGAGGATGGCAGCAACACAGGAAAGTTTACCATCGACATATGTGGCCTGCCTTTCGAAATTACCCGCACTGGTACTCGCGTCGTGCTAATCTGCACAGGAAACGTCCTCCCTGTCCGGTGTATCAAGATATGAAGATTTCTGCAAACATTTGCTTCGTTGTTTCCACATGCTTTGATTTGATCAAGAATAGGATCCACAATACCTGGGCAACAGCATGGGTCCAGGTTTAATTTAATTGTGGGTCCGATCTTCTGTTGGTTGGGCAATTTTTTTCACGGCTTATGGGCTGGGCTTTCAGCTGAGGGATTGATCTAGCTATCTGGTTTGGGCTGAGTGAGGGCTTAAGGGCACTATCTGGGGCTAATGGGTTTACACCACCCCCTGAGGCCATCCTCTCTAACCAACCAAACACATGTGGCCAAGTAGATGTAATTGCTGAAGAGAGTCCACCCCGTCTATGTTCGATCCCCATATACTGCACTAGATTTATTGGGCTATATGATTATATATATATATATTATCTTATACACAAGTATTCTCTATCATAAATCTAGGCTGCCAACTTTGATCAAGAAACCATGCTTCTTGAGATTCCTCGAGGCCACTGCTGCTAAGCGAACAACTCGAGAGGCAGATTCTGCCTCAGCTAGATCTCAACTCCCCCAATATCATACAAACCGCATATGATTGACTTCATGAAGTGCAACAAAAGGGCCCCATTCTCGAATCCCACAAACAGCTCCTCCACAAGGTTGTCGTCGAGGTCGTCTGCAGAACTATCGCCTGCCAGGACCAAGGGCTGGGCTGTTCACTACCCAACTAGATGTTCCCAACCTTCTTCATCACTCGCTCCCTGCAAGATACCTGCGCTGAAATATTGTACGTACACTTCGAAATGACTAGCAACTAAACTTGTCAGATCAAGCCCAGTCAGCATGTGTACTGAAGTTTCATTTTCGATCCTGTGCGTGTGATTGCAGATACCCCGGAGCATGTTTCAAGCAACATGCGAATTGATCAGCACAAACACTGATCCGAACATCCATCTGTTTTGCACAACAACGACAGCTGCATGAAGTATCAGTGCTGGTTAGTATATGCCTACTGTGCGCAGCAGCTTCACGCGTTGCTCGGCAAGACAAAACCACCACTGTAGCTAGCAGAGCCAAAGACTCCTTAGGAGGTCTTGGGCTTCTTAGCGCGCTTCTCCTTCTTGTCCTTCTTGCCACCCTTCGCGGGTGCCCGGCAGGATGGAGCTGCGGAGCCTGACACCTTCTTGAGTGTCCTGGATTCAGACAGCGGCAAGGGCAGCTTGGAGATGGGTACAGAATGAGATGGGGGAGTTAAGGGGATATGTATAGAGTATAGAATATTAATGCATAGATCAGAACCACTGGAGACAATTACGAATTCCAGCATCAAATTTGGTTTAGGGTTTAGGGTTCAGGGTTTAGGATTTAGTTTTAATGCCACCCTCAATGACCCTAGAATTGTGCAACGTGTTGCCGCGTAGCTGGCACCTGATCATATCAACTTAGAAATTGCCCTCCCTTGCCGCACCTTAATTTATATATAGAGCTTGACGAATGAGGAGTTTTCGGTTTTGGTTCTATGGATATAGGTTGCTTGGGATGTGTACACCGCTACGGAGCGAGATAGCTACTGGCTAGTAGACGGTCTGTAGGATTTGTGGATTTGCTTTGGTTTTAAGGCTCTGGAACCTTGCTTAAAACCAAACCAAACCCACAAATCCTAGGTTTGGTTTGATTTTACGTAACAAGGCTTTCAGATTTGGAAGGATTTGGGCCATACATTAAAAATATATGTACATATTATAGGGGGTTGTAATAATGATTTAATTTTAGAGGGGTATATGATCTTGAGTGAGCTCATAATATTGGGGACAGCTTGAGAACTGGGTTGGGGCTTCATCAAGTCCAGGGACTTCGTTCGGATAATGTAGTTCCCGAGGAGGACATCCTGCTTCGTGATCTCAGCATAGATCTTCAGCAAGCTGTCGTTGAACTGCCTGAGGGCTTGAGGTTTATAGCTTTAGGGTTTGAGTTTAGGGTTGAGGACCTAGATGGTTGAGTGTAGGATGTAGTGTACTAGTTTCAATCCTTTTGGGTCATATAAGATGAAATTGCGAGAAAGCTGCTGGTTTGGGCTGGTCGTGATGCTCTCTGCCTGCTTCTCATTCAGCTTGTTGTAGTAATTCTTCATCTGATTGAGAATGATCTGCAGCTGATCTTTCAACCTTAGTTGGTCCCATATAATTCCACCCATGCAAGTACTAGATCGCTTGAATTCAATTGCTGCAGAAGGACGCCTTAGCCCTGTTGTTCCTGGGGTCAAGCTTGTCCTGCAAAGAATATGTAATTCACAGCGCCAGAAACACGCAGTTAACACAAATCATTACAACAGAAGAGCTGTCCATCGTATCTTCGCAGTGGTCGATCTTCCGACCGAGGATCTCCAAGAAATTCCCCAAAATAGAGACAGGCGACATATTCTGAGCCACCGTTGGAAAGACTATCCTGAGATGCGCATCTCGATCTAGTAGAACTTATCACATATAGTCATGACCAAGCAAACCTGTTGACAGCAAGTCTCTTGAAAGAAGCAGCTGCCCCCACAGTAGCTTCATTCCTGTCAGCGTCACCTGAGGAAGCTGCTGTGCCTGTCAAGATCACTCCAGCAGAGGCATCGACGCTAGGGATGTCATTTCCGAACAGGAATCCGCTGTCATCCTTGCATATTAATTTTAAGCTAGGGATTAGGGTTCTAGGTTTATGAGGTATAGGGATAAGATTGTGCAATAGATCTCCAGCAGGAGTCCTCGATCTCCATGCCACCCTCCATTTCGATCTCAGCTCCTGTCTCGTCCTGCAACTCAAACGTGTCCTTGATCACCAAACGAGCTTCCTGCTCACCGTGGATGCTGTTGGTACGAATATGACCATTCGCACTGGCCCAAGCCCAGGCAGAATCTATCATTTTCCTTGGTATACTAGCACGCAGACCAGGTCAGGTGTGCCCCATTAAGAGTTGCTAGAGCAAATTGTAAACTAAGCCCATTACTTCGACCAACCTTCTTGGGTAGCCAGCTGGTGCTTTGTGACCCATCCTCCAGTCTTCGCCTTTCCGAACAACGTTTTGTGGTACTTTTTGGCCTTCAGTTCCATCGTGGCGAAGTCCCCGTGGGTTTTCAGAAGTTCTCTGAGTTTTTCACCTTGGTCAGTTAGCGCATGCCATTTATAATACTACGCTAACTTCTATAGGCCTTACTTGCACATAATTGCAGGGGATGGCACGGCCGGAGGATGTTTTGTACAACTCAAGCGCCTCCTTCGAGCATTTGAGCTTGCCGCAGGACCTGGGGGTAAAATACCTCCGGAGCCTCAGTTGTGGCATCTTATATAATTAATGATCATGAATACCGCAAGCTGCACCTATTATAATATGTAGTGCAGCAGAGGGAACCGCCAGTATGTAGGGCTTTGCGATCTCTTCTTGTGTGACGAATCACTCCCGGAAACTGACGAGGGAGCAACCTTATTGGATGGTTTCAGATCACATTGCGTGCCACATATGCAAGGAATTCCCAAACTAGGACCCCCCCACAAAGAATCCCCATTTGTGTGCAATTTAGCAGCAGAACCACTGGGGCTGGGATCCCTGGGGCGTTTGCTAGAGGGTCTGGGCAAGTCCTTCCAACGTTTCTCCCTGCCTTCAAGCTTGTCAGGTGTCATCAGCCTTGCTAGCTTCGGCGGCAGGGAGGCTGGGGAGGGAGCAACGTAGGAATCATTCCTGGTATAGCGGATGGTGCCTGGGGACCTTGTTGGGGCAACTGCAGGCTGGGGCAAGACAGGAGGTTTCTCGGGTTGCTTCACCTCGAAGCTCTCTTGGCTCTGACGCTTCAAGGTCTCGCTTCCAAAGGGGTTATGCTGAGCATCCTGGCTGCTTGGGCGGAAAGTAGAGAAGCCAGCAACATGCTTGCCAGCAAGTTGGGGTTCATCGACAGGATGGGCCGTAGCAGGAGCTCCTGCATAGAAGACATCCTTTTGGGGGCTACATCTCCAAGTACTATAGAGCTGCTAGCCACTGCACTTTCACTCCCAGACCATGTAGCTAATGATATTATTGGATGAAAAATATTGGACAGCCTGTAGACCCCGCAACCACCTTAACCAAACCCTGCACCTGGCACAGGCGATGCCACCACTTCGCTTGGCTTCCTCTGCAAGGAAGCTTGCAAAGCAGCGATGCGCTGCTTTGCAGCCTCGGATGCACTTAAAGGGCAATGGGTTCTATATGGGTCTGAAAACGCATGGAACACTAGCTGGCATAAAATGGTTTAAATTAGTGACCTCAATCTTGGCGTCGAGGTCCGATGGTGCTGTTGCTTCCATGCTATTGTCTTCAACCATTGCAACCCCTGCAGTCAGTGTTTGGCACGACCACAACCTGGAAGCCATGAGGTCTAGCTCAAAGCTGAAGTGGGCTGAAGTAGAAGCTTCAGACATGTATCGTTAATCTCAGAAGCTTGCGGCCTGGTTTGCAGTTTGCTTGAGGTTTGGGGCCTAGGAACCTTTAGGGCTTAGGGCTTCTGGGCAGTACAGCAGTTCATAGCCAAGCAGGTGTTGCTGCAATGCCACAGAACAGCTTAAGCATAGAGAATTTCCCTAAAGATTCTAATTGGGGTACAGCCTGGGGTCTGGGGTTCTGCCACTGAAGATTCCAGCATTGCCGGACTCTATATTTTTCATCACATCAGGCA